AAAGCTTCTCAAATCAGGACTGGCAGACAAAGGTCCCCAAGGCCTCGTACTGCAGAGACACTGTTTGGTACCTGACAATTCAACAGAAGCAGCAACACAGAGTATCCTTTCCAGAACTACAACTTATTTTAAAAGACCCCATTGCTGTACCCAGAGTGCTCTCTTTATACCCAAGAGCCTACTAAGGCTTTGGTCCAGATGCTCTCCCACACCAAAGAGCTCCATGAAAAAGGTGACAGATGCATTTTCTTTCAGCAATTTAACATTAACTGCCTTTCAGCTTAGCTAAGAATGAGAACGGAGGAAGAGAAGTGTTGGATTCACCTTCTCTAGTTCATTCAAGATTTTGAATCCTTTGCTGTTCTTTTAAAAAATAAATACTCCAATATTTTCATCTTATTTCATTCTCTACAGGCAGGAGTTTGATTAGGAAATGCACCAGCACTCTCTTGGCCCTAATTAAAGGGCATGTAATACAACAAATAGATGGCAATGCCACAACATGAATTCGATCCAGCCTGCATCATTTGTTCATAACTTTTATTCATAGAAATGAGACTACTACTTTCCTTCCACACCTCTGTCAGGCTCCCCATGGAAATTACTCTCATCCACTCTCTTGTAGAGAGCAAAACATACAACTTCGCTAATGAAAAATTGCTAGCAGAAGCAACAAGCACATCTCAGCTAACTAATCCATGGGATGTTCAGATCTGGAAACATAAACTTTCCTACCTAATAAGGGTGTGCTGATCTCCATCAGATTGATGCCAGGATGCCTTGGAGTGCAATCAATACAAAACAAATAAATTATTAATTGCTCCAAGTAATTAAATTTATCAAATCCAAATAAAAATAAATGATATTTTATGGAACTGCTTCCAAAGCTGAACCTCTGAAGGGACAGTATTGATCACAGGAGGACAGACAGATGTTTCACATGTTCACAGACGACGAGGTCTGGGTTTGCATTAATGACAGGGAAGGAACAGAGCCAACAGCCTCCGATGCAGAGTAAACAGGCGGCGTGCTTGGCCATTTAATTGTGGGTCAGACCAAATATGGAGAATAAACATGTCTAAACACATACATACAACCCCATCTTCCTCTAGAAAAATCATTCACCTTGGAGCTGTAGTAAGCACTCAGTTCCCAATCCAAGAAAAAACAAATGGAAGAGAACTCACACACACGCATTCCCCCCCCCAACCACAGTAAATTCTTACTCATTAATCAGTGCTAAAAAAAATGCTCAGCAGGCTAGTAAATATTTAAAAGCTGGTGAGTGTGAATATTTGAATCAATGGGTACTAAAGTTGTACTTGTAATTTTCCTTCCTCTCCTTCTTCTTTAATTGGTCCGACTGGCAAATTGTCTACAAGATCCCAGTCAGCAGATAGAGTCAGGCTGCTCGCTGGAAGCCTTTTCTGAGGGGAGGTGGCCGGCTTTGAATGACTAAGCTGGAGCATCCCTCAGTCCTTTCTGCAGACTGAGATCTCTACAAACTCCTTTCATTCCAGAGTTTTGTTTTGTTTTCAGATGAGACATCACTCAATCGATTCTCTTCCAGTTCCTTTGTTTCCAAACCCGTGACAACAGAGCAAGGACACAGACTTATACCATAACATGCAGCAGTGGGGACACCCTTTTCCATCCATCACCTTCCTTCCTAAAAGCACTGCTGCAGCAATTCAACAGCATTAACAAAATCATAACTTAAAATTCACAGATAAGGCTGAGAGAGAAGATGAGCAACTTAAAACACGCTGAAGAGCTGTTAAGTATGCCAAAGTCAAGCGCTCTGAACACAACAAAGTCAAAGACAAAGGTTAAACTTAAAAGAAAGCTGAACATGACATGGTACAGAAACACTGCGGTGAATTCGAAACAAACTCAGCTCTGCCCTACAGAAGCAACACGATGCCTAGATCACAGATGTGGTTATTGTTGGTTTATCCGGGTCCTCGAAAAGATTCAAGTTCAACAGCTCCCATTTTCCTTTGCTTCAGGCAGATCCCTAGCAAAGCTTTTCTCCCTCATAATTCCCTGCTTTCCCTTTAGTCTCTTCCTCCCCTTTCCCTGTACAAATTCGCTACCCATCTCTCATTTCCTCTGGCTCTTTGGAGCCTGGTATAACAGAAGTTTTCCAGAAGTAACGTTTAGGATTAATAATACATTTCTGGTGTTATTTTCATAACACAGTTTTACTAACAGCAAAGGCAGAAGTCTAAAATTCCTTTTCAAGAAACTCATGAAAGGCTCATCCCCTTCCAAAACATCTGCTACTGCCTCCTGTTCTCAGTAGCACCAAGGCAATACACTGCCTTGAATTAAGATGAAGCTTTTCATAATGCCCAGCTTCCTACTGCCTTACTGACACTTGCAGTCTGTGCTGTCAGGAGGCAGAGGGGAAATCCCATGCAGAGCAAGGGCACGGGGGCTGTGGCCTTCTCTGCCTGTGGCCACAGCCCCATGGAGAACAATGGGAGACTGAAGCCATTGTGATAGAAGGCAGCTTGTCAAACTCACTGGAGAAGATTACTCTTCAGCGTCTGCTGAAGGAGAAACTTTCGGTTATGAAAAATAATGGCCATAAGTGACCACTAATCCTAAGGGGGAAAAAAAAAAGTCTTCAAATTCAGCCTGTGCATAAGATTTTGTAAGCTTTAACAACAGAAGGAATTTGAAAAGCCAGGGCTATTGTCATAAAAACTTCTAGGAAAAAATTAAGTTGAATACAGACTGCTAACTTTTTCTTCAAGGACTCATTTCTATAAATTAATTTTAACTCAAGTTTTCAGACTAATTGTAAATCCTCAGGAAAAAAAAAAAAATCTCTAATCAAAGAGGAAGTGCTATTATCCTGGGGATGATATGGTACATTTTTCACACGTGACAGAGGTTGAGTCCCTGATCTCAGTGCAAAATCCAACTTCACCTAACTATGAAGGCGTAAAGCACGGTAGCAAAGTACAAAATAAAGGAGGACAATAGAAGCCTTTAAGTGAGGAACGCTTTAGGTCCTCAGGCAAAAGAACCTACTGCAAGATTTAGAAATCATTTTCCAATGTGCTCAAGGCAAAATATCTTATGCTGGATGTTGCCAGAGTACAAGTTTCCAGCACAGCATCCCAATTGCTCATTTAGTCCTAGTCGGTTCCCATCCTTATCAATTCCACACCACTGGTGTGTAGAGGGTTTGCCACATAAATCCCACAAGTAAAATAATTCGGATTAGCATGGATTGTCAACTCTATACCACTTAGCACTTCAGCATCTCTTACCAGTTCAAAAGGCCCATACTGACCTCATGTAATTAATTCTCCACATCACCCATAGGTGAAGCAAGTGAATCTATTAGCTCCTGTTTTAAAAACAGGGAAGACTTGAATAAGGAAGCCAGCTGACTGACTAAAAGCCACAAATGAATTCATTTTGCTGGGTTGAAGGCAGGTTTCACATTTCCAAGCAACAAAGTGTTGTTTTCTACCTAGATCAGTGATTTGCAATCTTTTTCAATTTGCAAACCACTAGTACTTCTAATAACAGCATTTATCTCCTTAAAAATTTCAAGCAGAGCATAGGAAGTTGTTCCAGGTCATCTCAGGAGTGTGGATACTGCATGCTGAAAGTTGCTGAATCAGACTGCCATGTCTCAGCTTATCGCTGCATTTTGTGAGCATTAAAGAGAACAGGGAGAAGCACGTAGCACCCATTTTCACAAAGGCTGGGATTTGAATTGCCTGCTTGGCACAGGAAAAGGCTGCTGGCTTTGCCAGATGGTTCCATCACTGACAGGTTATTGCTCAGCTTCTCTTCCAGGGGGGGTAAAAAAATAGAAAAGATCAACTATCACTTATTAGTTTTCAAAATCCAAATCAATCTCCATAAATTACTCTATTTATCTTAGCACCGGAGAACACATCTGCCACGTCTCCATAAATCTCAACACATGCACTGCAGTCTTGCCTGTCACTTGCTGGGATTTTTGACTTCCTCTAGGCTGTAGCCCCTCACTCATACTGGTAGCCCGCAGGTGGTGGCACTTGTACGCTAAAGGGGTCCCCCAGCAGTGACCTTGCTGAGGTATACCGCCTCTAATGTGTACATGCACCCGTACATCAAAGCAGCATGATCCCAAACACATTTCTATTAACAGCCCCAGGGTGTTCCCAGCAAGATCTGGGAAACTATTCTGACATCAAAAGAACATCCCATAAACCAGTCTTTAAAAGTGACCTAAAAAATTACTATGCCAAGTGAAGGTGCCAGGCAAGGAACCTCCTTCTCCACCTTTGCTACAATAAAGCAACTAAAGATAATTTTATTTGGCTAGAAAAAAAAAGCACTTGTACCAGGCAAACAGGATTTTGCTAGGAAAACCCCTCTGAAAACATTCAGTTGGCCAGGCAGGTTTAACTCCCTCAGTATCCCAAAACCTGTCGCTAAGAGACAAGCATCAAGTCTTGCTCATAGAACAGCAAGAAAATTCTTTTCTCAGGGATATCTGTGCGACAGAATGAACAAAGGGGCTTTTCCCCAAAATATTTTCTGACAATAATGGAAATAGAAAGGCTAAAAATTGTATGCGTTTATGTGTGTGTCTTTTTTTCAAGTCACAACCTGAACATCCGGTTCTTAAAAGCACCTCTCATCTGTCAACAAACGTGCTCTACGAGGCCTATTACATTTGGCTGCGTGCTCTGTTTGGACTAGACAGCTCCATTTGGGTCCGTCACATGTGTCTAACAGCAGAGCGGGCACACCAGTGCCACCAGTAACAAACACCAGCAAGTTCAGGTGCCCCTGCAAGATGATGAGCTGGCTTTGACAGAGCCAGCATTCCAGGTTTCTGAGTCTCCACATTTATGGAATTCCTTTCTTATTTTAGAAGCAAGAACTTGACTTCCTTTAGCTATAAAAGGACAACAGATGAGGAGACAGACAAGCAGACTGAAAGACATTAACAGAGGTCCCAAGGCACCAGGACAACAGCCTACCCTCTGGCTTCGCAGCGTGACACCTGCAGATTTGAAGTCAGGAAACTTGATGCCAGCAGTCTCAGGAACAGCCTGAAAGAGATCGAAACAGGATGTGTTGATGGAGGAAACACAAGAAACACACGATTTCATATAGAGACTATCTAAAGGGGAAACACTGTTTCCTATGACAGAGAACCACCTGCCACAGCCACACGTCAGAGCTGAGGCAAGAGGAAAATCCCAAGCAATGGGATTCAGTGCGAAAATCCCAAGCAATTCACTGAGAAAAATACTGCAGTTCAAGGTATCTTTGGAGAGCTCAAGCATTTTTGTTTGGTTGGTTTAAATGCACTGCTCTACACAGATCCTTACACCTATCCATGCAAGCACAAACTCTAACCCTAAATGGTACTCATTATACTAACATATGCATACTTGCACAATATCATCCTTATCTAACTTAGGCCCATTTCACTGATCAAAACAGCCCAGGACTTCCCTAAATCTTGGCTTTTGACTGCAAGTCCTCTAAGGAATGAGCTGAGAAACCTCTGATCTGTACAGACATGAGCCCACTAATGAGGATGTAAGGACTGCACCCCTCCAAGGAGGCCTGCTGTTTATACATGTTTTGCCATTTATCCACTCGTTAGACAGTTTTCGTTCTTCCCCACTTCACATTTTAAGCATAGTAATAAAATAAGGCAAACTTCTAATGCTGCTGCTAGACAGTAGAGCATTTAGTTGCATTTCAACAAAATGGAAAAAAATAAATTAAATCCCTTAAAAATCTGTGCTGCTGAGCAAAGCACAAGGTGAGCATACTTTTAAATAATTAAACCAGCCTACCTGCAGGGCCCTGTGCACTGAATGGTGTGGGGTCCTCTGAATGGGTCACTGATAGTCATGTTTCAATTTATGAATAGCCACAATCTGTGCAAAACACATGCTCAATCACGCTTTTCCAAAAGGAAGAGTCACCTCAAATCTCCCAATTTCTTTGGAGACAGCATTTGCCTTGCTGCTCCCGTACTTCTCTGAGGAAAGGCTCTGCAGCTTGCTCTTTGTTTGTTCCAGAGAGGACTGAGACAACCAGGGCTTCCCCAAGATCATAAGAGATGCTGAAGGACAGTGACTCAATTCCTCAAGTTCCCTGCCAATGACCCTCACATCTCTATCAGCTGTCTCTGTGTCTTGGTCTTGAGGTGGCACCTTACAAACCGCTCTGCGTGGTCAGGCATTAAGATTTTTTTTTCAGTTATCTGTGGTCAGTCCAATAAACAGAGGCCCCAAGAAGAGATTTCTAGACATGACCATGGTGGAGAAAGTATTCTTTAACTACCAACAGGGCTCATGAACTTGTAGGTATCACTTTGATCTTTGGTAGGATGTAGCCTCCCTGCTTGGATTATTAGACAAAGAGGGCTGCAATCAAAAACCAATCCTCTCTGCTTCCTTTCGATGAAGGCTGGCTTTCAAACTCCCCAAACGCTGCCCCCCAGCCCGCTGCTGAACACCCTGACACAAGCAGTGAGGGTAAATCAGCATCGTTGGCTTAGCCGAGACAACTCTGACTGCACTCAGCACATAAGCAATTAAATGGGTTCTTTTGCCTTGCGTGCCTGTACATGCTGTAAACGCTTCAACCTCAATTGACTCTTTGGTAAATGATTTTCCTTTGTTGAAATGATGCTGATGCAGCTCCCGATTCAAATTCTTAGTTAAAATGCAATTTTTTTCTTAACATTTCCTGGCTATAGTTGGTAATTGACTCCTAATGGACTCTGTCATGGTTGAAATGATGCTAGTGCAACAACAGAAACTGCTTCTCTGCCCACCCTGGCGTGCCTATCCACTGTATGCCTGCAGACAGGCACCAGCCAACAAGCGGTATTTAGGGCTGGACTCCCTCACCTTGGCATCCTCAGCATCTTTCCAGCCCCGTTCTCCATCACCACCAATGACAAGCTGCTTTCTTTAGAGAGAGATATGCCAGCCATGGGTGAGCTTTACCAGATCAACCCTCACGGGAATTCAATGCACAAGGTGCCCAGTGATACTATATTCATTATGTGGGGGGCAAAAAAAAAAAAAAAAAAAACCAAACCAAAAAAAACCAACACCGCAAAAAAACCACCCTGTTCTAAGGAAGTGCTGGCCATTAGGTACACTTCATATGCAATAACTGTCTAGCATTCACCGCTTCTCTCCTCTCCCTTCACAGACCCTTTTGGAGGACGATGACACAAGTGCTCTCTCTTCACAAGGTGGAGGGACAGGAATTCCCAGGGACTCACTGGAAACATCTGAGATTTTGTAACAGCCATTTCCTACTGAAGATGCTGAATTTAGTTCAGTCCATGCTGTCCTCTTTCCAGAAAGAGAAACTGAGGTAACATCAAATGTGAATTGAAACGTGTGTTCTGGGCTCCTTAGACTTTAGCTTGGCTCAGGGAGAAATAAGAAGCAATAGCTCCCGGAATACAGGAGTCCCCCAGCTGCTCTGATCACAGCTAAGGATCAGGAGAGGGGCATGTACCGAGCTTGGGGAGACACTGCTGAGACCCAAGAATGGGGAAGGAAAGGGAAACCTGGACTAGAAAAAGAAAACAGGTGAAAGACAACAGGTTTGTGGGACAACCCTGCATAGCAGTACCAGAATACACTTGGGAGAAGCAGGGAGACAGATGCTTCTCCCTGCCATGAGGCCTGAATGGCTGGCGCCAATTTATACCGCTTTCAG